TTGCATACTTTCTTCTGTGAACTGTGTATTTATGTTTTTGCCCATTTTCCTCTTGGGATCTTTAGCCTGTGTTTTCACTCTGGAATTTAAGTGTTCTTTATATATTTGGGATATTAGCCTTTTATGCAAGATGTATATTTTCTCCCAGTTTTGTCATCTGTCTTTTGACTTTGTTTATGTGTTTTTTTGCCATGCAAAAGGTTTTTACTTTCATTTTTATGTAGTTGAAATTATCCATCTTTTTCATTGCATCTAGATTTGGAGGCATACTTAGAAAGGCGTTCCCCACACCCAGGTTATAAACGAATTCATCTTTGTTTCCTTGTAGTACTTGTATGGCTTTATTTTCTACATTTAGATTCATTTGGATTTTATTCCAATGCACAGTATGAGATGTGAAACCAAATTACCTATGTATTTATTTCTTTACTTTTTTGCTGAGGAAGATTCTCCCTGAGCTAACATCTGTGCCAGTCTTTCTCTATTTTGTATGTGGGTCACTGCCACAGCATGGCTGACGAGTGGTGTAGATCCCTACCCAGGATCCAAACCTGCGAACCTGGGTCCCCAAAGCGGAGCACACAAACTTAACCACTAGGCCACAGGGCCGGCCCTGTATCTATTTATTTTTTATGGCTATCCAGTCATCCCAACAACATGTATTAGAAAGCCCATCTATGCCCCAGTGATTTGGATATACCACTTTTATTATAAATTAAATTTTCATATATGCCTGGATCTATTTCTGGACTTTCTGCTTTGTTTCATTGATCTATCTGTTCATGTACCAGTACAATAATGGTAACTGCTCATAACATACTGAATAATAATAAAAAAAAGAATTTGAATGATATGCAAAAAGAAGGGGGGCAGTTTTCTTTACAGAAGAATGCTAGTTAATAAATGTGGAAAGAATGACAGAATTAGTACAACATCGTTTTGCAGCCACCATTATAAAAACTGATTCAGGCAGGCATCAGTAATGCATGCTAAAATTATTGGGTGTAAGTTGTTGGGAAACAGTATATTTACGTGGCCACGCCTACTTTTTAAATATTAATATAATATTAATTACAAAGGAGAAAAGGTACCCTTACAGTGGAGAAATCTGGAGAACACTATCTTGACCAAATGACCAAACTTGGCATCACTAATGGAACAACTGTCATCGTGTACCTCCTGGTGTGACGCAAGGGGAATCACTGATGTGGTATTCTTGCCAAAAGTGTTCAATCTAATGTTTAACCGAATCTAATCATGAGGAAACAATCTGACAAATCCAAATTACAGGACATTATACAAGACAACTGGCCCAGACTCTTCAAAATGAATATTTCATGAAAGATGAAAAACAGTATGAGACTGTTCTATACTAAAACAAAACTAAAGAGACATGACAACTGAATGAATTTGCATGACCTCGATCCTGAATTTTGGATCTTTGAAAAAAAGCGCTAAAGGAGATTATTGGGACAATTTGCAAAATTCGAATATGTACTGCGAATTAAATATTATTATTTTATCAATGTTGAATTTCTTGGGTGTCCTAACAAAATTGTGATTACGTAGGCAAACACCCTTGTTTTTAGGCAATACAGGCTGAAAAAGTGATCTTGATGTCTGCAATTTAATTTCAAATGGTTTATAAAAATGTGTATGTAAACATAAATATATATATACATATAGAGAGAGAGGGGAGGAGATGGAGAAAGAGAGAGAAAGGTAGCGAGAGAGAACGAATGTGGCAAAATGTTAACAACAGTTTAATCCTGGTGAAGGGAATATGGGTGTTCATTCAACTTTTCCACAGGTTTGACATTTTTCTAAATAAAAAGTTGAACATTTTTTAAAAATTGAATTTGGAAATATCTATCAAAATTACAAACACACACACCCTTTGACACAATAGTCCCACTTTGAGGCATTTATCTCACATATGATCAACGTTATTCACTGCAGCATTGTTAGATAATGTTAGATAATTCAGCAGAAGACTGGGAGCCAATCAAAATTTCCTTTAACAGGGGACTCGCAAAATAAAGTGGAATAAAAAACTGAAGAAGCTCTTTGAGGACTAATATGGAATCATCTCCAAGATGTAGTGTCAGGAAAAAAAGGTCAGATACAGAACAATTCCTATAGCATCGTGTTTGATAGAATCAATGACCCTACCTCTTCCCCTCCCTAAACTCACACCCCTTCCAATGTGACTCTGCAGCTCCGCACATCCCTTGAATTTCGGATAGCCTTGTGACTTCCTTTGGTCAGTAGAAAATAGTAGCAGTTACGGTGTGCCAGGTCCAAGCCTGGGCTTGCAGAGGCCTGTGTGCTTCTATACTTGTGAAACCTTGACACCACAATGAGAACAAGCTGGAGGGTGAAAGATCCTGTGCAGTAGAGCCAAATAATCCCAGCTGAGGCCATTCTAGAGCAACCAATCCCCAGCTGACTCATCAACTGATCAGCTGAGCCTGGCCCTGAACAATAGAACCATCCGGCTTACCCACAGACTTATGAGAAAACATGAACAATTATTGTTTTAAGTTACTAAGGTTTGTAGGGGTGGAGGGCAAGATTACCAGTGATAGCTCATACAAATATGCTACTGTTTGTGTAAAATTTTGGAAAGAAGAATATATAGATGTACTTGCTGGCATATACAAACTTTCTCTGTTAGGATGCACAAGAAACTGAAAACACGATTGCTTTTGAGGAGAGAAGCTATGGTGGCTGGCGGATGAAGATGGGAGGGAGACATTTCACTGTCTGCCCTTTTGTACCTTTGGAATTTTGAAACAAGTGAATGTATTCCCAATGAACGAAGTAGTGAAGGAATAAAATCTGTTTCTTTTACTCAAATCTTTTCACAACTCTTGAATCATCTCCAATGGGTAATGGGAACTCTCATACTCTATTGGTGAGATTATAAATTAATACAATCTTGGTGGGGTGGAGGTATGGCTTTAGGCAGTGCCTATAAAATATGTAAATGAATAGACTATCTCTGAAAGAACCACCAGAAGCTGACAACAGTGGTTGCTTCTGAGGAAGGACCTTATGGAACTGGGGGTCAAAGGCAGAAGAAAGACCTTTTATAGGACCTTTCCCTATATGCTCTTTTTACCGTTTGAAGTTTTTACACTGAACTTGTATTACCTTTGCAAAAGGAAAATAATGAATAAAATGTACACACCCTTTGACCCAGAAATTTATCACTTCTAAGAATCTCTCCTGCAGAAATACTTACAGAAGCAAAGATAAATATATGTTATTACTTGTGTATACTAATAAGTTATAAAGAACCTAAAGGACCACCAATTAAGGATTAGTTAGATAAATTATGGAATGTTCATACAAGAGAATACTACACAGTTGGTAAAAATGGACCCAGATACCATCAGCCAGGTCGACATAGAACACTCTAGACCTCCTGAAGCACTCCCGAATGCCTACTTCTGGCCATTCACCCCTACAAATTATCACAAACTGAATAAACCCATGTAATCATTACCCAGGTCCCATAGAACATTCCAGAACTCTTGAAGTGTGCCCCCCTGTGCCCATTTCTAGCCAGTCACCCTCTATGAATGATCACAAAGTGAATAAATCCATGTAACCATCACCTAGGTCACATAGAACATTCTAGAACATTCCCAGAACATCCAGTTTTGTAATAATTTATCAAGCTGTACACTTTTTTGTATGTATGTTATACTTCAATAAAAAGTTTAAAACTATGCATGTGTACATATTGTAAATATGTTTGCATATGTATAGAAAAAGGTAATTAGGTATACAAATCAAACTATTACATTATGGATGAGACGGCTGTGCCGGGAGGAGTTTATTTAATTTGCATACTTCTATAAGGCTTCTACTTTTTTTAATGAGCTTTTTTTCTTCATAATTTATAATTTAAAAATGTATAAATAATGAAGAAAAACACAACAAAAAAGAAAATAATTTTAAACACTGCTATGAGATGTTAGTTTGGTCTTTGAGGAGGAAATATACACTGCCAGGACTACAAATCCTAGAATTCCTGACCCACCACCTACAACAGCCACAGTCCCCCACTTCCCACCCCCACCCTACAGGTCCTGGGGGAGATAAATGCCTGAAATACGGATTCAGACGAGAAACATTTTACTACCTCAGGCTTTCACCTCACACTTCAGTGTAACCACCAGATGAATGACACTAAAAATTTCTTTTGCACAAAATAGGGCTCAGGTGACCCAGACTAGCAGCTTCTTTCTCTGAGGGCTACATGCTGACCTTAGCTTTGGAGCTCTAACCACTCCTTTAGTCAGAAGAGACAGGTAAGGAAACACAAAGCAAAGAAAAACCACACCTACGGGAGGCAAGAAACCTTTTAGGGCGACTGATTGGTCCCAGTTTGCCCGGGACTTTCTTGTTTAGCACTGAAAGTCCCTGGGAAACCCCTCAGGTCCAAGCAAACCAGGACCTAGCAAACCAGGCCTCAAGTGCTCTGTAGGCCCCTTTGCCCTGAGCCCCAACCAAGCTCCCCCTTGACCTTCAAGGTGAGAGGCGGGTGTCTTCTCGGAAGCTAAAGGAGAGATGTCAGACTGCTCTCACCACACTCCATAGGAGAAGAAAGGGCAGAATCAGAATTCCAGAGAGAATCCAAAGAGGCAGCCAAAACGAGCATTGCACCCATTCAACAGCTTTTAACCTCTTCATACCGACAATTCCACACACCACTGTGACCCAATGCTTCCGTGGATCTGAGTTCTGATTTATATTTTACTCTGAAGATTTTAGCCATATCTAGAATATCTATCACTCATACTATTGTTTACTTAAGATGTTTCTTTAAATGAACTTACTTTTTCTTTGTTATAGTTATTTTTAAAAATATATTAAAAATATTATTTGCTAAATTTAACAGAAAACTTCATATCATTATCACAAACGGAAAATCAGTATTACTGCCACAAACACAGGATACATACTAGGTGTATATTAATAAATATTACCTAAAGTTGGTACTCCTTGATGCAGACTCCTCAGGCAAGTTTTCCTCAGGAATGTCTGAAAGACAAGAAGCTCGATGCTCCTCCTAGAGGTCAGAGTGTGTGGTTAACGCTTCCAGGGGTTTTCTTCCAGTTCCTTCCTAGGTTAACACCCCCTCGTGACTTTCTTTCAGCTCCCCCTACAGGCGAGAGTGACTTTCTTTCAGCTCCCCCTACAGGCGAGAGTGACTTACTTTCAGCTCCCCCTACAGGCGAGAGTGACTTTCTTTCAGCTCCCTCTACAGGCGAGAGTGACTTTCTTTCAGCTCCCTCTATTGGTCAGAGTGTGGGGTTACTCTTCAACAAAATTTTATTGAGTGACTATTATGTTTCAGAGAAAGTACTCGCTGCTGAGGATACAGAGGAGAAAATGCGAACGATTTTGTATTGTAGTCGAGCAAGGGTTGGGAAAGAAAGGAAGGAGGAAGTTAAAAGATTTCAGCATAGACTGTACTGCTTGTCTCCATTTCCTGAACCCCCATTTATTCAATCTGGCTTTTGCCCCCTCCACCTCACCGAAAGTACACTAACAGAAGTCTCTGGGGGCCTCCTAATTATCAGATCCAACGGAAGTTTCAGTCCTCATCTTAAGTGACCCTGGAGACGACTCCTTCCTTAGCTTCACTGATACTGTTAGCTGCTTTCTCCAGGTTTTCCTCCTACCTCTCTTGCCACCCCATCTCTCCTTAACCCTGCTCTTAAATGCTGATGCTTGTCTGGATTTTGTGCTAAACCCTCTTCTCCATACAATCTGCCTGCTGATGTCTACATATATGGCTTCCACCTACATAAGCTAAAGACTCTCAAATCCTAAAAGACCAGGTGTGGCCTTTGTTTCTCACTCCAGCCTCATTTCTCAGACTAGCAAGCTGCTTGAGATACTTGTGAATTTCTGTGATGGTGCCTTGGTCTTTTCTTGACTGTATCCTATTTCCTTCTACCTGACTCCCACCTCCACCTCAAGTTTGTTCTTCAAGATCCAGCCTCAGTGTTACTATGTCTTCTGGGAAGCATTCCAGAAGCACTGCCCAGGTTATGTTGGGTGCTCTCCCTCTGTGCTCCCCAACAGACTTGAATCAGTACTTCTAATGATCGGTGTACTTCTGTTTATTCTGCTAGGCTGGTCTTTGAAGGCACAAAGTTTATCTGCATTTACAGTTCCCAGGACAGAGCTCAATAAGTATTTGTTAGATTGATGAATATATGAAATCCCCGAGCTGTGAACAGTTAAACCCAGAGAAAGAGGAGCATAGGGGTGGTGGCTGGGGTTGTGTGCACCTGGGATATTTAAAACGAGTATTTAGACCCTCTTCCCTTTCCCTTCCTTTTGTAGAGGCAGTCATGGCTGGCGGGGCCGGAAGGACATCAGGGTCAGAGCCAAAGAGATGGCTGGGGCTGAGGAATCAGCCAGCGTAGCAGGGTCAGAAACTGGTCACGTACAGGGGAAATGAGCAATTATATCAAGGATAAAGAAAATCAGGTTTGATGGGGCCGGCCCTGTGGTGCAGCGGTTAAGTGCGCACGTTCCGCTTCAGCAGCCCGGGGTTCATTGGTTTGGATCCAGAGTGCGGACATGGCACCGCTTGGCACGTCATGCCATGGTAGGCGTCCCACATATAAAGTAGAGGAAGACGGGCACAGATGTTAGCTCAGGGCCAGTATTCCTCAGCAAAAGGAGGATTGGCACCAGTTCGCTCAGGGCTAAACTTCCTCAAAAAAAAAAAAAAAAAAAGAAAAAGAAAATCAGGTTTGTAACTCTCAGAGAATGTAATGTTTGTAACTGTCAGAGTTGTAAATATGGATAGGGTGGATGCTGGAACGAACCCTGTGGGGTTGAACTGGAATCAGGTACGAGTTTGAACTCACGATTTTTAACAGATGAACAGATATAGGTATGTATGTATCTAGACATATACATGTAATCTCTCTGTGCTGAGAAGGCCTTTAAACCATCACCAGTAACAGAACAGGACACCACGTGCCTCCTGCAATGAGATGTTGAGAACATGGCGTCACATCTGTGGTATTTCTGCCCAAAATGCATAACCTGAATTTAATAATGAGGAAACTCCAGGCAAACCTAAACTGAGGGACATTTTTAAAAATAACTGGCCAGTACTTTTCAAAAACATGAAGATCACAAAAGAAAAGACTGGGGGACTTCCAGATTGAGGGAAACCAAACACACATAATGAGCAAGTATAACACATAATCCTGGATTGAATTCTGGGTCAGAAGAAAAGATACAGATATTTTTTTCCTTTTGGTAAAACAGCATTATTGGGAGCACAGGAAAGATTTGAATGGATCTGTGGATTAGATGGTAGTTTTGTATCAAAGTTAATTCCCTGATTTTGATAGTTGTAACACGGTTATGTAAAATGTCCTAGTCCTTAGGAAATTTACACTGAAGCATTTAAGGATAAGGGGGTATTATATCTGCAGCATTCTCAGATGGTTCAGAAAATATGTGTACACATGCATTTATATATACACACATGCACATACACACACACACACATACGAGAGACAGACAGAAATGATAAAGCAAATGTAGTTAAATGTTAACAAGCGCGGAACCTGGATGAAGGAGACACAGACTTCTGTGGGCAAATTCTTACAACTTTTCTGTAAGTGTGAAATAAAATATTCATATGTTTTTAAAATGCTGAAAAGAAAACTGAGTGTTTACAACCTGAGTCATATATAAAAGGCATTTAGTTTTTGCCTGTCTACCCCTCTATCTTGTTCTAAAAACAATTTAGAGTCTTATGAATATGTAAAAATAATAACAAGATAAAGTAAATTGGAAATAAGTAAGAAATATGTGTGGTCTTGGCAAGAACCTTCGACATTATCAAATTCTACAAAATGTTCTTTAAAATTTGACAGATCGTGTGGAGAGGTTTCTCTTTGTTTTGGGAAACAGCCCAAACTTCAGTACAGCTGTTAGTGCTTTTGTGGTCCTGATGTCCTTTGATTCCAAACTTGACTGCAATTAGACACACAGATTGCAATACTGAGATATGGAGGCAGAAAATAATTACTAATAAATAGAAAAGAAATAGACTTTAAAAACTTTTACAGAATTTTATGCATGTGTACACACTTTATTAAATTTGCATTCTAAGATATACACAAAGTCAGCATTTCACAAAACTTCCTATTATTCCAAAAGCAATTATCGTGAAACACAGTGATTATATAAGTCAGTCAAGCAAAAAAAGCATCTATAGGATTTTCTTATCATATCGTCTCTTGTACTTGTTTCCAAATAGAAGCCTGACATATCATATAATATTAGAATAGGAAGAGAGAATTTTAATTTATAACAATGATCACTTTTCAAATATTAGACTTTATATAAAAATAAAGTGGTACTGTCAACAAAGCTCATCTGAACATTAGCATCTCTATCTTTTATTTATTTCAAAACAATTCCTGCACAAACTTAACTTTCTAGTCAATTTAAACAACAAAAATGAACCTTGGTTTAAACAATAAAGTGAATCATCTTGCCTCCTAGTTCTCATACTACTGGAACAATTTCATTTTCCTGTCCCAATTCTACCCCACCACTGAATTTCAAAAATAAATTTAAATATCATCACATTCCAAAGGTTATTTCTTAAAGAGTCCTAAATTAGAGCCAAAAAAGGATGGCCAAAAGTGTCCCTTTAAGGCAAAGAAGACAGTAGAGCAAAGGTGGATAAATATCCTGTAAGATAAAACCATCTCTCAGTATGACATAGGCAGCAACATCTTAACATGGTTCTTTCACAAACAGAATAAATACACTGAATACCATCGAAATAATTTTTCTTTACGGTGGCATACTAGGGAACGATCTTCATAATATATACATTTCTGTTAGGTTTGAAAGATTATGGACTTTGCATAGGTGAAAGCAATACAAGAAATAAAGCCATTAATGGCCATTATGGCGGTTATGACGATTTAAAACCAACAACACATCTGATGCTGTAACAGAACCACTTACAACAAGCTAAGGAAAGCGCTCTCATGACTCAAAGAGAATAGGTTTCCCTTCAAGCCACACAGCATTACTAGCCTGTGAGTACCCGCAGCACATCATATTCCTGTAACGTTCAAGGATCTTTGCCTTCAAAAGACACAAATGCAGTAGTTTTCTTTTCTTACATTCATTTAAAAATGGAATAGTATGATCCTAGTAGGCAAATTTCATATATTAAATACAGACAAGCCAACCATGATGCCTGAACACTAAAAAAATCTATCACAACAGACATTTCTACACACTTTTAAATAATAAATAACACAACAATAGATTACACTCAGGTTTTTTAAATAGCTCTGTCAGGATTTTCCTCTTTTAAAAGTTAAATAACTTATGGTACCTCAGACTTACTATCATGTACACTGTTCACAGCTCAAACAGCTTCTTAAAAAGCAGGATGCACAATAACATTGACTTTTTCAGCTCCTAAAAGCTTCCTCGTAAATATTCAACTGCCCTTACTATAAGGCAGCGTGAACAGGAACTGGATTCTGATTCTGGTGGCAACACGTAACCAAAACACAGTCGGCGGCACCACTCACCACATGACAAAACGAACGCATCCAATGACAAAAAGTAATTGGCAAAAAGCAGCAATTGAAACAGTATGTGGCAATCACACACATAGAGCCCCCTTGTCTATCCTACATCATGGTACAGATCTTTATGACTATACCCCAAGGCGCCTCAGGCCCCACAGTACCACCCAAGACAAGCTGTCAAGCTCCATGTATGCTTTCCTACACAGTGGTTTGTGTGTAAATAACATTATTCATTCATTTGTAGATGCTCCACACATCTGGTCAAGGCAGGAATTTCTTCTCCTTGATAACACCACCTAGAAACATTAACAATATTTTATATATTCCTTAGGGCAACAGGTTTGGGGAGAAAAATGTCAACTGTGGTAGCTGAGTCATAAGAATCTGTGGTGACTAATCCAGGCATCCTGTAAGTCCATTTCCATTCTCGGCACTAAAATCAATCCTCATGTCAGACACTCCAACAGCAAAGAAGCGATATGGATAGTAATGAAAGCAACTATTTCTTCCCCTCTGTGAGAAATGGCAAGTAAGCAGCTCAAACAGGAAAGGGAAACAAAATAATGTACTTTAAGCTGATGCAGAAAAATAAAAATTTGATAATCGAAAGCAATTCATCTATTACTGTGAAATAAAGAGGTTTGAAACTACGTAGTCAACAGAGAGCAAAAACAAAATCTCTCAAGCAAGAGAACTTCTGATCAACTCTAGCTGTCATATCAACTGTTGGAAAAAAGAACCATTATTGAAAATACATTATCAGTGCTTTCCTTAAACATATAGACTCTAAAATAGGTGCTCTTTGAGGCACTGAGAAAAAAATATATATTCTCTAAGCAATCAAAAGTGAGTATTTGAGATTTAGTCACTAGATCTAAAATGAGATCAGCAAAGAGACATAAGTAAGGTCACTACACTCGTAAAATTGAACTTTAGAGAAGAGAGATGCCAAAAAAGAACGGCATCAAAGAGGTTTCAATCTGTAACACTTTAATCCTCATTATGGATCAAAGTTCTCTGCGTTCCTCACTGAATATTTTATGTAGGAAACAGCAGTTAAAACACTGAATCAGAAATAGGTAAGTCACTTGGGTGAGAGATCATCCATCAAGATGAACGGAGAGCATGAATTGGAGCATGCTACTGGAGACTCTGCGGTTGTGCTGCCTTTAGCCAGTGAGTCTGAGGATAAGCCACTGCTGCTACTACTGCCATCCAAAATATCTGAACTGAGGACAAAGCAAAAAGAATTATAAGCAGATGCATCTATCAGGGTAAAGGTAAACATAACATGCAACAACACAGTTTCAAGAACTCACAAATCAGTACAGCATTTGTAAATAATAAAAAGCATAAAAGCAACAGCAATGAAGTACATAACGTACGATATTCGGATACCTGCAAAAGGACAAAGTCACGGAAATCCCAAATAAGACACTCAAGGCTCTGTATCACCTGAGTGTTCTCCTGGAGGCACCAGAATGTCCAACACACAATAAGCACTCCTCTGCACAGGTCAGGGTTTTCATGAGGGACTTCCCTTACCCTCCGCTCAAGAGATTTCTACCCTTACATTTATTTTCTTATCTTCCCATCAGCCTCGGAGTAAGAGGAATGGTTCCTCATGGAGGGGCCTCGGACCGTCTGAAGCAGTCTATCAAGTACACTGCTGCACGGTTCCTCGACTTCAGAACAAAGTCTCTCAACTGCTCGAGATTTCCCACTTCCCCACTGCCAACAGGCCTTCACTTCAAACATTTTCTTCTAATTTCCCCCTCCATTATTTGCCTTTTATATTCCTCTCATTTTATGAATTTCTTAAACTGTTTCCTTTCCTCTTGCTTTCAAAACCTAAAGGTCTCTCTGCTATCTCTAAAGACTCCTTTCTTTGATGCCTTTAGTTACTATCCAGTTAACCTTCTAAAGAAATGCTCTATATCTATGGACTCAATACTTTCGCAGTCCATTGCTCTCTAATCCCGACAACTGGCTTCCGCTCCCATCCTTTCACTAAAACTCCTGATCTGGGCATCAGAGCCTCTATAACCCAGCCCAGGGACACCCTACTCACCCAGCCCAGGCCCTCACAGCTCCCAACAATCACTCCACCTGCCTCATAAGTCTGGCTTCATATTTCAGCATTCACAATTAAAAGCCTTCACAATTTGGCAGTAGGCTGCCTTCCTAGTTGACTCCCATCAATCCAGCATATAAGCTCTATGTTCTACATTTGGCCCAAATCCACTCATTCATTTATTCTAATATTTACTGAGTACCTGCTAAGTTCAGGGAAGATGCTGGATATTAGAAATACAATGGTGTATAACACAGATATGGGGGCTGGCCCTGTGGCCGAGTGCTTAAATTCATGCACTCCGCTTCAGTGGCCCAGGGTTTTGCTGATTCAGATCCTGGGCGCCGACATGGCACCTCTCATCAGGACACGATGAGGCTGCGTCCCACGTGCCACAACTAGAAGGACTCACAACTAAAATATACAGCTATGTACTGGGGGGATTTGGGGAGAAAAAGCAGAAAAAGAAAAAGATTGGCAACAGTTGTTAGCTCAGGTGCCAATCATTAAAAAAAAAGACAGATGTGGTCTCTGCGCTCATTGAATTTACAGTAGAGTGCAGGAGACAGACATTTAAATAATCCTGCTAATAAACATAGAACTATAACGTGATCAAAGCAATAAAGGAAGATACAAGGGGCTCTGAGAGTATTTAACTTGGGTAACCTGATCTAATTTGGAGGTATAGGGAGGACTGAGGCTCCCCCAAAAGGATATTTAAGCTGTCATCTGAACGATGAGTACGCATTAACTAGGTAAGGTTTGGGAGGAAGCAAGGGTATTTCTAGAAGCCAAAAGCAGGCTAGTGTGGCTGCAGTACAGAGTAAAGAGAACACGGTGAGAGACAAAGCTGGAGAGGTAGTCAGGCAGTTTTAGGATATACACAGACACACTTTTTATTTTTAAAAAGGAAACAAAGCATAGAATTGGAAAAGAAATTATGAATCAGGAAATATGAGTTCTAGTTTAAGTATGTCACTAGCTCCTCTCCAAAAGCCCATCCTGGTCTAACGTGCTCTGAGGCTAAACATTATGAGTCTCTAGTATTATCATTTTTATGAATTTCCAAGTTAATGTATTTCCAGTATTAAGCAACCTAGGGTACATTTGGAAGTTTCTGGGCCCCGTACCACCCTCAATGAAATATAACTTTTTCCCCCCTGCTTCGCTTCTATTTTTCTTCAAAATGTCATTTCTTTCTACTGCCTCTGGATTGTTTTAGGTGGAGACAGAATACAAATAGGCTTTGGAAAAGTAAAAATAAAAATGGAAACAGTATACGCCACAGTACTCCTACTCTACACTCACTGCTGTCAAATGCATCATTAATAATAGCCCTTTTAAGTAAGAAATTCGGAAAATTTAGCTGGTTCTGGTATTTCTTCAACCAAATGGCAAAATGGGTCTAAACTATGAATTATTCAAACTACTGAAAGTTGCACAGATAATCTAAGACATTGGAAAATCAAAAGACCTTTATATTTCCCTTTGGAACATATGTGATTTTTCCTCCTGCAGCATTTTGCCTAGACTAATATTAAAATGAATTTACTTTCCCAAAGCACATATTGGCTGGGCAGCCGAAGGACACGCTCTGTGCTACTTGGCAGGAAGAAATAGGCTTAGATTAAAATTTGGCCACCAAGCAGATAATCTGAATATAAATAAAGACTTTCTTATCCCAACCACTAAACCTATAGTGAGCCCTAGTTTAAAAGATTCCATTTGTAATAAGACCTGTTTGCTTAGGTGAATCTTGTATTCACTCAAAAACACAGAACATGACTCATGCAGAGAAATCTGTCATCTAACACTATTGGTTACCTTAAGAGAAATAAGCTAATGGGGAAGTTAGCAAGAAGTTACCAAGAAAAAATATATAAATCTGAACATTTCATATCTTTTCAAGAATTTCTTCCCTATTATTAAATATAAACATATATAAAATTTTGTTCATTAACAGAAAAATAGCATACTTACATTTAGTCTCGAGTGCAATTTAGATTCAGAACTTGGTAAACCTTTAACCAGACATTTCACTAAACTAAAATCTAGTTTCTGTCCTAACTAATCTGGCACTACTACACGTGGTTATGGAAGCAGAGATTAAGGGCCACAAATTACCCACTGTTAGTATATCCGTGTAAAACAAGATTTACGGGATTTTTTTAACCCATAGAGAGGTCACCGGATAAAAGTGATTTTCACAGTGTCTGCTATTAAACCTTCCACCAGGGCTTCAAAAAGCAACAAAGTATGTTCCAATCTGAGGTTCTCTCTTCTTTCTTTCCTAGCTTAAGCTCTGATGGAGGTGCTAATGAGGCTTAGGTTGATGGCCCAAAGCCAGACAGTGGTAGGGAAGCAAAGGACCTGGACAATTCAAGTTGAATATAGGAGCACATGAATCAAAAATGAACTAATTCATCCCAGCCACTGAATACACATATTGAGACAATATATAAACCACACAACCAAAAGTACTTGTGACCGTTAAAGTAGCGCCCTCTGTCTAAAAAGACTAAGGGTGAAAGAATAAGAGAATCATTAAAACATTCAAATGATAACAACAAAACTAGGATGGCCAGTGTGACTCGTGCTATCACCTCATGTGGTTGAGCCACTTAGTGCTCTGTCCAGTCAATAAAATGGGTGCCATTAGATTAATGGCAGGCAGGTAAATGCACTAGAAATTAGCCACGGCCCTATCAAGCCCAGCACAGATTGTGGCATAAGGTAAGACTACGCAGCATCCTCCTATCCCTTGGTGTAGGTTAAACTGATCCATAGGGTATCTTCCCTGGTCTCTACTGTGTTACCTTAGGAAGGCCCAGCATTATCTTTCCGTACAACCTCCAAGTTTTTTTTTTCCTGCTTTTCCTCCCCAAATCCCCCCAGTACATAGTTGCATATTTTCTTTTTAGTTGTGGGTCCTTCTAGTTGTGGCATGTGGGACACCACCTCAGCGTGGCCTAATGAGCGGTGCCATGTCCGCACCCAGGATCTGAACCGGCAAAACCCTAGGCCGCTGAAGCGGAGAGCAAGAACTTAACCACTCGGCCACGGGGCCGGCCCCAACTTCTAAGTTTTTAAGATCACACGTTTAAATATGATCATTTCCATAGTCACCTTGGGGAGAGGAGTTTAAAAGTATCTGCACCAATGTCTAAGCTGCTCACATAGACATCTTCAAATTACATGTCTACATTTCTATTATTAAATACATTATGACTAAATCTTATTCTTCGTACATCACACATTCACTATGAAATTTTCTTGGCATGACACACATAACATTAAAAATAATGTTACAGGGGTCGGCCCCGTGGCCAAGTGGTTAAGTTTGCGTGCTCCGCTGTGGCGGCCCAGGGTTTTGCCAGTTTGGATCCTGGGCACGGACATGGCACTGCTTGTCTGGCCACGCTGAGGAGGGGTCCCACATGCCACAACTAGAAGGACCTGCAACTAAGATATACAACTATGTATGGCGGGGGGGGATTTGGGGAGATAAAGCAGGAAAAAAAAAAAGAAGATTGGCAACAGTTGTTAGCTCAGATGCCAATCTTTAAAAAAAACCGTTACAGTCACTAAGGTAAATCGAATGAAAAATGTTAAAATAAAACCATAAAGGTTAAATTAGCAGTCACGTTAACAGTGATGCACTGGGCAAGAAAATTCATGGGAGACTTTTTCCTTTTCTGTAAGAGCAAAAGACTACCACTTAATCTTCACTACATGGTTAATAGCCCTGAAAACTCCTTGATTTTCTATAGCATGCCACAGGTAGTTTTATTCCCAAAAGGAGGAGGAGAAGAATAAGAGTTCCCAAGATGCAAAAGAATCAAAGCCCCATGCAAAGATGGATCTCCAGGCTATATTCAAACTCTTGATGTTCACACGGACTAAAGGCGGAATGACGTAATTCGTGCAATATTCCCCAGATTTGACTGGCAAAGATTTCAGAATTTTCATTTAGTAAAAAATATGACATAAGGAGTAGACCTACTATTTCTTTGGGCAGCAGTTGGCACACTGGACACAAACTCCAAATGAGTCCATAATCAAACTTCACATTTAATTTCTACTTCAAAGACGTCAGATTTTAAAGATGATTATGTAGTATATAAACTTTAGAGTTTGTTTTTTTTAAGATTTTATTTTTCCTTTTTCTCCCCAAAGCCCCCTGGTAGTTGTGCATTTTTAGTTGTGAGTCCTTCTAGTTGTGGCTTGTGGGACGCTGCCTCAGCGTAGCCTGATGAGTGGTGCCATGTCCGTGCCCAGGATTCGAACCCATGAAACCCTAGACCACCGAAGCAGAGCGTGCAAACTTAACCACTCGGCCACGGGGCAGCTATTTTCTTTGCAGGGTGGGGCAGGGAATAAACTATCATGATTTAAATGATAAGATAACATCTACTAATGACCTGATACTTTTTCTGCTCCCTAAATGGTATAAAACTTGTTTTCCTTAGTTTCGTTATCAAGTAGATTGCTATCTTTGGCAATAAAAACCAGAACACACCTAGTTCCTGCCTCTCTCCTCATTTCTAAGAATATGGATGTCTGATCAATGAAACTGCATTAAAGAGACAGAAAAAAAGTTTCTGTGAAAGCAGGATCCAATTTTTACATATCAAGAATAACTCATATTTAAAATCTTAGTTGTAGACATAAATGTCAGCAATATTAGTATACAAGGTATCCCAAAAATCTTAGTGCAATTTTAAGCTTTAACATCCTCAGAAGTCCAGATACTACAAACTTACTAAAAACATCATTTGAATGTTTAATTACTTAAATATCGTTGATACTTAGTTTTGTGAATTTTGAGTAATAAATTTCTTTTTAACATATTACTTAAGCCATATGTTGGCTTGCTTGCACTCTATGAGCGGCTGTGAATAAAGTAAACCTGTCCAGTGTAAGGCAAAACTTTTTGTGGATATGGATCAAAAACATCCTTCATCACCAATGTCGATGTTCCCCGGGCTCTCATAGGCAGTGACAGGTCTATGGAGAATGGGAGTGGTAGCAACAGAAACAGAAGCCTCGCCACAGCCACCACCATCCACAGCTCAGGTTGTGCTGCTCAGAGGAATAAACGTCTGAACGAGGGGAGAGGACCCTTGGTAAATACCATACCTTCTCTTTCCTTCCTTCTTTATTCGTATGAACTGTTTTATGGCATCCTGCATAGTCAGCCTAAGGCAATATTTGAAAAAAAAATCACCTCACCTTGTATGTTTTCAGCTTGGCAAAATGCCTTCGTATCTTTTACCTAACTTGGTTACTTCGTTAGTAACTGGGTAAGCAGATCTATTTATAACGTCATGTGCCTATATTAAAACACACTTTACCATAAAAGTGATATGCAGTTTCCACTAAGTATAGAGTTTCATCCTCTAGTCCTCTTGACAAGCTTGACAAGTTTTCTCTTTGCAATCATCTACATACCTGGAAAGGCACTCTGTACCAAAATTAGCACACTGAGCTACCAAGGACAGAGAGATGAGAAAGACTGTAGGGCTGAAAATAGCTAGAACAATCTAAAAGGCATCTGTTCCAAGGTTAGAACAGTACTGATCAACGAGTCTAATAAAGTAGAATAATACGCGACTTCTTGGTCAACTAGAAGTACAGGTTATCCTACACAAAACAATGAATAAGTGACTTGGAAGGAAGGAATCATCAATCTTGATACCGTATGAGTGTCTTACACAATTCTCCCATTTAGAGGGCACCATCCTTTTATTTTTATTTTATCTTTTAAAGATTTTATTTTTCGTTTTTCTCCCCAAAGCCCCCCGGTACATAGTTGTGTATTTTTAGTTGTGGGTCCTTCTAGTTGTAGCATGTGGGACGCTGCCTCAGCATGGCTTGATGAGCAGTGCCATGTCCGCACCCAGGATCCAAACCGGCAAAATCCTGCGCCGCTGCAGCGGAGCATGTGAACTTAACCACTTGGCCATGGGGCTGGCCCCGATCCTTTTATTTTTAAAGTGAATGCCCTCGTGAGCTCTTAAGATAGACCTTCAGCTATAAAACTCAGGGAAACAAGTTCTGAAAGGCACTACACAATTGTGTGTACAGCACGGGTGCTCAGTGAGTTCATCAGAATGTACTAAAAGATTTCAAAATATCCCCTAGCCACTGCTACTATCCTTTCCCCTTCCTTTCAAAATGTATGTCAGCATCCAAGTGCTCAACTTCAGGGACTGGAAAAGAAGTGAACTCTAGCACAAAAACACTAAAGGGCCTTAAGTTGGACACCTAACCTAGGAGGAGTAAGACTAAGAAACATTATGTGAACAGACCACAGGAATCAGGAAGCGTTACCATAAAAACGAAAGCTTAGTTACTATCGTGACGGAATACCCCCAAATTTTCAAACAGATTTTATAAAACAGATAATGCCATTTACAAAATGCCATGCTTAAGAGAATGCTGGTATGCTCTGCTAAGTCAAAAGGGGGTAATACAAAACGCAGGCAGAGCAGCTGCAGTCGATGCACGTTACCCACAGCAACCCAGGAACTTTCTCATGCCATCCAGCTGTTGACACTCTCCCATACCGTTAGCATCTACTGAGAAAGGCTGACCTGACGGGAGCTAGGAACGAAGGTAAAGGTGCCAAAAAAATACAAAGGAAGCACTCATGACTTTCAAATGATCTGTGTGTTCACATTATCTACACCTCCATGGAGATTTCCCCTCTACGGAGCACAATAAAAACTTGAATATATTTTAAATGGACCAATATACTTTCAATGTGGCTCTTTTTAAATGGATCATATCCTAACACCCTTTTGATTTCATGTCATTCTTTACCATGAACTGAGATCAGACAACTGCGCAGCCTCCGGAGACAGCATATTGGTAGTGCCTTGGAAGAGCCTCTTAGGCTGGCTTTCGGTCTCCATTTCACCTACAACAGAAAGACAGGATGGCGCTGTAAAACGATTTTACAGATACAGGCCTAGTGCTAAAATGGGGTAATCTTTGTTTAACCAAGGCTCAGAATACGTCTTCAAGCCATTACTTGAAGGCTATTTTTCTTTTTTTTTTTTTGAGGAAGATTAGCCCTGAGCTAACTGCTGCCAAGCCTCCTCTTTTTGCTGAGGAAGACTGGCCCTGAGCTAACATCTGTGCCCATCTTCCTCTGCTTCATATGTGGGACATCTACCAGAGCACGGCATGCCAAGCGGTGCCATGTTGGCACCCGGGATCTGAACTGGTGAACCCCAGGCTGTGGAAGCGGAACGTGTGCACTTAACCGCTGCGCTACCAGGCTGGCCCCTGAAGGCTATTTTTCCACGTGCTTTAACGTGGAAGAAATATACTTCCACAGAACCTCAACCAAAAAGTCAGCAGCCCTAAGATTATCTGTAGCTACAGACACAGTCAAGTTCTTTAAAAGAAGAGTAAAACACCGATGGCATTAGACAGAATGAATCAAAGCTAAGCATAGTAGAAATAAAGTATCCCCAAACAGCTGAAGGCCCTAGCAGATAATCATTTATGCTGGACAATTAGTAAAGACTACTGATTTTACATATTTGAATATCAGAACACTTCCTGAGTTGAAGTTAAATTGGTTAAAAAGCATGCAGTCTGATAAAGAGCATATACATCAAAGGTTGCTTTGGGCTACTTAGTGAAAATGAAGATTAAAAATGTAAGTTTGCAATTGGGAGCTAGGACACTAGGAGATGGGCAGATGGAGAAAAAGAATTAGGGGTCGATGGGAGTGGAAAACAGAGAAGAAGACCAGAGAGAGAAGGTGCTCCCAGGTGTTCCTCTGAGGCAGACTCTGATGGCCTAGTGTCTTAATAGGACAAATAAAGGCTTTCATTATCTCAACAAAAAAAAAATGTAAGTTTGAAAGCACATCTGTAACTGACAGCAGTTTTTTTTTTTTTGAGGAAGATTAGCCCTGAGCTAACTACTGCAAGTCCTCCTCTTTTTTGCTGAGGAAGCCTGGCCCTGAGCTAGGATCCGTGCCCATCTTCCTCTACTTTATATATGGAATGCCTACCACAGCATGGCATGCCAAGTGGTGCCATGTCCACACCCAGGATCTGAACTGGCGAACCCTGGGCAACTGAGAAGCGGAACGTGCGAACTTAACTGCTGCGCCACTGGGCTGGCCCCAACAGCAATTATTAATCAACTCAGAAAATTGCTATTGTACTGGTGACCTCAATCCTATAGATTTTCTCATAACTGGTTAACAGAAAAACTTTGCATCAATAGGAATAATGCTTAACATTTTAGCACTAGAAGTGCAGACTCACAACCGCAGATTAGACAGAAAAAGCCCGCTTCCAAAGAAGCTATGATTTACAACGTGCACACACCTTGGGTTTGAAGCTCTTTATCTGAGCCTTAGACGGAATATTAAAGAAAATTTAATTCATGGGCCTCACTATACTCCACTAGGAAATTAGTAATTATGAACTTAAACTTGTACAAGATTCTTAGTGATGGAAAAAGATCAACGAAGAACGAATGCCACATTCATTTTTTTCCATATTATCAATTAACTCATATTATCTTTCCTCTTGAGCTATTCCGAAAATTGCTGAAATTCAGGAAAGGTGGTATTTTTATTTGCTCTTCCCATACTTTAATATGCAGCTTTTAAAAGGTGCTGCCATCTTTCAACTCCACCTCATCAGCAAAAGGCTTCAGCCCTTTTTAGCAAAGAACCCCTCCATCTGCTGGTATATTTTGGAATAGCCTTGAAACTAAACAACCATACTAATTACACTTTCTGCAATTTTGTTGCAACTTCCTGCAACAAATTTAAAATTAATAATAATAACAACAATAATAATAGCTTTAATTCCCCTGTGTTATTTTCATGTAATAGCTCCTCAGAAGGTTCTTAGGATTGTAAATAATTCCTTATAGCATTAAGGAAAAAGGCTATTGGTTTATAAAATAAAATGTATTCACTAAATACAACTATAGTCACTGTATCAGGATCTATTTTCCAATCACACCATCTTTAAAGTCATGTGAATCATAGTACTTTTTGAATCTGTGTATCACTGGAAAGTTTGTACCAAAGCCACAAGCATCTGTTTACCTAACATTAGGAGATCTGATTTGTTTACTGGCCCTGAAGGTGATCTGCACAAAGAAATCACTTACTGAACTGCTTTTGGAAAATTTTTGTTAAAACTCTTATTTAAAATGCCATCCAACACTTGCAACTATGTGGTCACAGCCCCAGGAATAAGGACTAAACCGGTGTTAAATTTCTTCGCCTTTTTTTTTTTTTTTAAAAGATTGGCACCTGGGCTAACAACTGTTGCCATTCTTTTTTTCTTTTTCTGCTTTTATCTCCCCACCCCCGCTCCGTACATAGTTGTATATCTTAGTCGCCCATCCTTCTAGTTGTGGGATGTGGGACGCCGCCTCAACGTGGCCTGACGAGCAGTGCCATGTCTGCGCCCAGGATCCGAACCCTGGGCCACCGCAGCGGAGCGCACGAACTTAACCATTCGGCCACGGAGCCGGCCCCTCTTTGCCTTTTTTTAATAGACTCTATCAGGCCCCCTCTATAAGCATCCAAAACTAGCATTGAATGAGATCATTTTAGTTTAGTGCTTTGTGGTTCAAAATAAGGTAATTAAGAGAGCATCCCATTATATCAAAAACCCTAAGGAGACTTGAATATAAGGCAATTCTCTTTCCCGAGGTGTAATTTGGTGGTGGCTTGTATTTGAGTATACAGCATGTTTACAGACCTATTTGCTATGACATAAGCATTTATTTCTGCAACATATCAACTTGCATCTCTTTTATATTCAGATCACTGAGAGGCAAAATTTTTGGAATATATATTGATAACATGAATATATGAATAAGATTTAGTTATGAAGTGTAATAAAATATAGACAGTATCAAATAACTAATTTACAAAATCTGGAATCAGTAAAGCACACATTGGGAAGAATATTTCACATTTCTTTAGAAAAAAGGAGTCATGCCTTGAACTAATTTCAGACAGAAATTCTAATTTGTAATTTAAGCTCGACTAGGTTTAACATCAGAAGCGTGACACTTACCTTTTCTTTTAAGAGGACCAAGAACACTGGGCCTAATGCACTTGACTGGACTCTGACTCCTCCTGCTTCAAAGAATAAACAAATGAGATGACTTGAAATACTTCTAAGATGCAAGATAAATATAGCCCACCAATAAATCAATAAAATTGACAGTCATATAGGGAGAAATGGAAAATGCCTGTGTTGTAGGCTGAGTAACTGATATACCAATGCATGATCTGACCTAGCATATGGCAATCTCGAATAACATGGTATTTTAAGACTTTTTTTTTTTGGAGGAAGATTAGCCCTGAGCTAACATCTGCTGCCAGTCCTCCTCTTTTTGCTGAGGAAGACTGGCCCTGAGCTAATATCTGTGCCCATCTTCCTCTATTTTATATGTGGGATGCCTGCCACAGCATGGCTTGATAAGCAATGTGTAGGTCTGTGCCTGGGATCCAAACGGGCGAACCCCAGGCCACCAAAGCAGAGCATGTGAACTTAACCGCTAAACCACTGGGTCAGCCCCTTAAGCTATTTTTTCATTTTTATTTATTTCTTTTTTGAGGAAGATTAGCCCTGGGCTAACTACTGTCAATCCTCCTCTTTTTGCTGAGGAAGACTGGCCCTGAGCTAACATCTGTGCCCATCTTCCTCTACTTTATATGTGGGATGCCTACCACAGCATGGCGTGCCAAGAAGTGTCATGTCTGCATCCGGGATCCGAATGGGTGAACCCCGGGCCGCCGAAGTGGAACATGCAAACTTAACCGCTGCGCCACCAGGTCGGCCCCCCATTAAGCTATTTTTAAAAATCATTCTATAAGACAAAATATCCACGACAGTTTTAAAACAAAGATAAACCTTATTAAAGTTATTTGGATTTGACTGGTTTACAATCTTAAATTTTTCCTTATCCTTATAAAGGATGTGTGTGTGTGTGTGTGCGCGTGCCCTCTGAATATAAACTGGCACTAAGTCTCAAAAAATGAATCTGGTGAATTGTTAATGGTAGAATATACGTGGTAGGCATATGGACGTTCACTGTGAAGTTCTTTCAATTTTGCTCTCTGTTTGGAAATTTCCGGAATAAAATGTTGGGGAAAAAGTTCATCGAAGAGATAAATTTCATGAATAGCATTTCAACCATACTTACAAAGCAGGTTCACTTACCTGGAAAAGCGTCTCGGACTGGGAACGGGACTTGGTGGCAGCCCACTGCTGCTCACGAACATTTGCAAGGATGGTGAAAAACATTGCTAGAAAAAACATATTTAATATTGAAATAGTTCTAGTGCTCAGATTTCCAATAGGTTCTTCTCAAAAAGGCAGAAACAATATCCTTAATGTTTCCTAGCTGTCTATATATATATATATATATATATATATATATATATATATACATGAGAGAATATACATAGTATTTTTTTTTCAAATTACTATCATAGACTTTCGTTAATTTTCCTTCCAGTCATTGGCTTCTTTAAAAGTGAGGGGATTCCTGTGTGTGTTTTAGAGAGTAAACGGCTCAGTGTAAGAGAGTTAATATCTTGCTAACAAGCCTACCTTTCCAAATCCTCTGGTGGGTGATGGCGCCGGAGACACTGGAGTGAAGTCAATCCTTTTAGGAGAATACAATTTCTCTGGCTTGTCAAAATCACTATCACTCTGTAAACATAAAGTGTTAGCTCCTCATAATTCACAATTCAGCACATCACAGCGCTTCTTTACTACTCAAACACGTCTACATTTTTAGAGTACAAATGTACAGACTCTAAAAAGTTGCAATCTAATATTCTGGTGGAAAAGCAGAGATCAGCAATGAACAGAACTTTGGAAACAGAAGGGTCAGAAGCGTATGAAAAAATTAATGAAGCCAACGGACAACAGAAAGGTTTCTAGAAAATAAAAAGCAAGCAAACGTGAAAACCTTACCAGGCTCAAGCTCTCATCCCATGACTGGCTTATCTGCATTGCTGTTTGCACTTCCCTAAAACAAACAAAAATGAAATGCCATCAGTGCTCACAAACAAGGCATACATTAGGCTATGCCCTGTTCTTGTGAAGCACTCACCTTTCGTGTGCAGTTTCTCTGTTCATCATATCCATGCCTTCCTCCTGCAAAGACAAATGTGCTGAAAACATAATATTTATCCACACAGTTCTCTATTTCAAAGACAATAAAAAAGACTTTTCTACTTCATCTGACATAATCAAAGTAAAGCAGAACTAACATTCGAAGATTGTCACCCATGCCACATCTGCATTTGATCAGCATACTCAGAAGCATTTTAATCTGTCTACAACTAGCCAGAGTTGCAGCCTGATTCATTTCTAATGTCGAAATCTTCACAATGAAAATAAAATCAATATGTCAAATTCAGAAAGTTGTAGATCTGAGCTACGAAGTACAATTTACCCTTTTGATCTGATGTAGTCTGCTGCTAGGAACGCGATTAGGTGAGGATGACAGCAGCTGGAAAGAAAAAATCAACATTTACTATTTTCTGAATCACAAAGTAGCAGTCTGTTGTGAGTACCGGTGTACAACCTCTTCTCGGATAATTTTTCATATTCTTCTTAGCAACCTAGCTCTTTAAATCACTGAACATCAACGCACTAGAGGCAGTACATTCAGTCTTTAGAAAGTACACCAGGTGTCCAACCTCAAAGCACCATCTGGCGCTAGACACACACTGACTTTAACACTTTTCCCAAATGAACGCAGAGCTGTGTACGTTTATGTAAAAAAAGACTCCAGGCCTTGGAAATATCCATTACCCCACTTACCTAAAATAAGGAACTAGATAAGAAGGGAAAGAAAAAACTGATTTACTCTGTTTTATTATCAATGTAGCAACAGAGGAAGACAGGCTAATAAGCTCAGTCTAACATTTCGACTATGATTAATGTTCATCGAAAATACTTTAAAACTGCAATAAGGAGATCTGGTTTGCATGATCTAAATTAGTTCTAAAATGTGACCACTAACACACAAATCATCACAAACCTTACTAGTTAAGAAAAATCAATGTGGAAGGCAAGGTGTATTTTAAAAAATAACTGCTGCTTTTCCTTAGATAATCATTTTTTAATAACACAAAGCTGAAATGATTTGGGGGCCAAATCACGTTTCTTCAAGATAATCATAATCTGATCACAAAATGTAGAAAACAATTCCTATCAAGAGATTTTATAGGGTTCTAATAGCCATAATGTAAACAACTACTATTTATTCCCTGATGAAATGCAGGTGAATTGGTAATACTAAAAAACCAAGTAAGACAATTATCCTTTTACAAGTTGTCCTATCCTATAAAACCTTTTCAAATATTAATGTAGTGAGTAGTATAAAATGGTAATAAACTGTTCTAAGTTTTTTAGGCAAAGGCTAATTCAGGTATAATTTTAAAAAATTATCCACTGAAATATGAGTTTACCTCAAAAGATATCCCTTCATTACCCACCCCTTTCTTTTACTTTTTCCTCTTCTAGGCTGTGAAAAGAAAAGAAAAACTTTACCAGTAAAATCCTTTTAAAAGTTATTTTTTTCCATTATGAAAGTAACACATTTACTGGTGAACTCTTAATAAGGTCATTTGAAAAACGCGAAGCTACTAGGCAAGTAACTAAGGCAGGAAACACTCTAACAGCACAACGTGAAAGACAGTATGGATGTGTCTGGCAGAGAACAAAAGAAACCCCAAAGACAGTGAAATAATCAGGAAAGCCAAAGTAAGTATTGCCAAAAGCTGATTGCAGAGAAAGTCAGAAATTTAGATGCTGTATCTACATGACGTACAAGTTGTCAATTTTAGACAGAGTGGAAAGTAGACTCAAAAGAGGGACAGAGAGGAGCAAAACTGTCGAGTACCAGAAACAAGAGTAACGAATAGGCTGAGAAAGAAACCAAGAACTTCAAAGAGGTGCTGGTTAGTGGTGTTAAGTAAAGCAAAGAGCTCAAGCGGGATAAGAAAAGAGGCCCCTGACATTGGAAATCAAGTGGGCATTGGTGACTTTGGCAAGAGCAGTTTTTAATGGAGCGGTGGTAGAAGTAGCGAGATTACAAACTGGCTGAATTGTCAGCAAGAAATTAGGAGACGAGGAATTAGAGGCAGTTGAGTGTAGATTAAGTTTTGAAAAGGCTCGGAGAGAGGAAAGGAAAAAAGGGAAAGAGAGGCCCATGAGAAAAAGAATAGTTAGTGTTCCAGTTATTAGATGTGTGAGTCGGGAGAAGAAGGTGGGGGGAAAAGAGCCAGTGAAGAAGAGACATTTTAAGGAGAAGAAAGTTGACATTTACAGAAGATAGGTGCCTGCCTTCTCTGTGAAGCGAGAACGGTCATCTGCCGACAGGGAAAGGTGGTGAGATAGGAAGCTTGCAGAGTTTTTAAAAAAAGATTTAGAATATTGCTTTGGAGAACAGCATGGGGCTGGTGGCACCATGAACCCAACATACCCAGAAAGAATTTACCTTCTGTCCCTTCAAACGGCCAATTCTTTTCAATCTCCCTGATCTGTAATAAAGGCAACACTTTTCCCCTGGTCACCAAGAAACAAAATTTCAGTCACTTTGAGTCCTCCTTCTCCCTGCCTTTACATCCAATCAGTTGTCAAATCAGGAAGACTCTACTTCTGCATCTCTCTTTCATCAGTCCCTCCTTTGTGTTTCATTCACCAACACCTTACTTTCTGCAGGTTAATTTGGGACACAGGTAAGTGTATTAAGATTTATAGAGTACACTGTGATATAATGTTTTTGATGTCATCAATATTATGATAGAAGCACCCAAAGGGTGCTGTGGAAGGCTTGCCAAACCAGAAAGCTGGAAAGGAGAAGGGGATGGGATGAAGGAGAGCCTAGGGATCAACAAAGAGCACTGAATCAACATGGCCCCGGCAGCAAACTAGGTATTTCAGGCAGCCAGAGCAAAGGGTATTTGTCAGGCAGTTGGGAGAGGTGAGCCTAGAGAGAGTTGATAAGAATCTTCACATCTTAGAAAAGAGCAAAGTGAAGAGTAGAGAGGCAAGTTCATTTTCCCTTTGCTATGCTATTGGTATCAGAAACATAGCTGTGTAACTTGTAGAAACATTTTTCACATATTTCAGCAAAAATAAGTAGTTGTATTTTCTAGCATCCTCAAAGAAGGAGGTAAAGCGAAGCAAATCTCCAGATAGCTGACATTTCCCCCTTATTTTTAGTCAGCTGGATATCTTTCTTAAAAGTGTTATATTTTTCCCTTTCTTAAACAGATTTTACCAAACAGAATGGCACTGGAACACCTCTATTCCAGTCCCAGCTCTGGCACTTACTAACTGTGTGATTCTGAGCAAGTCACTCCTATCGGCTGTCTTAGCTGCTGCCTCTTTTAATTGGGAAAAACATCTTTTGCCCTGCATACTTCACAGGGGATGCTATGAGAATTAAACGTGTGAAAGTACTTTGTAACATGAAAATACCATACAAGTGTAGGTATGACTATAATTTAAGAAAAGGTTAATGACCCAGGTCTCCTTAAGAACATCAATTATCTTCCGGTTCTATGCCAGTGACACCCTCAGGGTCTATTAACAGGCTCTTAGGCCTTAGACTAAGCCAGAGACTAATTTTTTAAAAACCTCTGTCTACTTTTCAGTGTTCCCCTCTCCTCCCCCGCTAGCAGCTATCAGTACACCTTTAACCCAGATGTACCTCTTCCAATTTGCTGCTTCTCACACACTACTGGGTTGGAAGCTTATTATTACTGTGCATAAATTTTACATGATTCAGGGGTCAGAAAGACTCTCCTATAAATAAACTGATGAACCTTTGTGCGCAGACTATGGAAATCTAGTTCAGCCATTTAGAGGTCTGTCTGCTTATATTTCAGATGTCTTCGAGAGAGCTGCAGCTACTGGATAAGTGGGCTCCACATGGGAAGTGCTACTCTATAAAAACCTCAGCATAATTTCTCCTAACATGACCAATGAATGAGGGGATCCCCGACAGCTCTGGCTAGATGGAACAGTCACAATCAGCAACTCTACTGAGACTATAAGCACAAGCATATGAAAAGAGTCTTTGGATAAACAGCACTGTCTAACAGATAAGTGGCAGAAATACATACTCTGCTACCATTAAAGTGATTTTCGCATCCAAGGACAAATAAAGACCCCAGTTCTCAGCTATGACTAGAAGTTAATCCTGACTTATCTCACAACCATGATGCAAGCAGTGACAAAAAACAATGAAGGGTTCTTAAAAATACAAAGTCCCACAACCAAGAAAATTTTTAACCAGGTCTCCTTTTGCACCAAAAGCTGAAAACGGCCCCAGCATAAGCGATAAACAAGATAAGGAAGATATTCTTTTCTTTTGTAAACAATTGTGCATAGCATATCATCTTAAGAAAGAACTACATTTGGAAGTGTTTCCCCTAATCCAAACCACTAAGGATACTTACTTCTATACTTACCAAGTTGTGACGGCTCATGATCGTTGTACTATTCCTCCGAGTTCTAAATGTATAAGGTTGAAAAACCTGTGAAAGGTCACTGAAAAATAAAAATAAAGTTATTAATGTCTCCTCATTTAAGATATCCTTTGGCTAAATTAAAACCAGTTCTCTAGTTAACAATGAAATCGTCAATGGCTCCTCATTCCATACAGTGAATAAACTCCTCACCGTCCTTGTCAGAGCTTCTCCAGTGGTGTGCTGTGGGTTACAGGTTGGCTGAGATACTGATCTCCTCCGTGGCCGGGGGGGCAGCAAGGAGAGGTATGGGGCGGAGCTCCAGGCCAGTTGCCTCCAGCTGTTTCTGGCCAGAGCTCACGCCCCCAAACCGGTTACCACCAGACACCAGCAGCCTCATCTGTTTACCCCAGGGGATCTGCGAATGTTACTGCTTTCTGTGTGGGCCATGACGTGAGAAGAGCTGGGGGTCCCTCTTCTACAATATGAGCCCCATCAGCACGTCTCACACTACTGCCCTAAACGTGTGTTCTACCTTCGGACCCTGCAGTTCAACTGAATAAACATACCTGGTGTTTTGCTCATGTTGCCCCTTCTGCCTCAAATGCCCTCCCTCCCACCACTATCAGTCGAAATCCTTCCTCTCCTTCAACACCCATTTCAAGTGCCATGCCCTCCATGATGAAGCCTCTCTTCATTCCGCAAATCTAATGCAGTCATTCCCTCCTTTGAACCCAAAGGGCACGATGGGAAATGAGATGCTTCTTGAGACACTGACTTTACCTTTTATTAAAGAAAAGCATGCATGTGTCTCAAACCCCTTGGTAGAGGTGTTGTGCTCATCTTTGTATAAAATCCCTGCAGTGCCTAGCAGAGTACCATGCCCATGATAAGAGGTCAAGAGGATTTTCAGGATTGAACTGGATCGGGCTTCAAGGGACCACTGAGATCACCTAATCCAGCCCTCCTAAATTTTAATGAGAAAACAGAGACTCAGGAAGGCTAAGTGACTCATTCATGATCAGAGCCAGTCAGGGAGAAAATCGGGACTGGGCCTGGGCTCCTCACCCCTTCTTCTGTCACATCATGCTCCCTTTCAAGTAATTACTTAAATCGTGATTCAAAACACAGTATGTTATTTCTACAACAGTCTAAATGCAGGTCAACAGGATTGACTTGTCCTTAGCAATTGCTTGCTTACCAGATTTAAAAAGACAACCAAAAAAGACCAGTTCATTCCTACAGTATCAAAAATAAATGTAGAACTGAGGATAGCATTAGGAAAGCAAAGTCACTCCATCAGCCCCTCAGTTTCAAAATTTAATAAAAGAAAGAGTCAATCCATTTTTTCCCCAAAATATGGATATTATAATCAGTTAGCTAGACAAGAATTACCTCTTTCTTTGCCTTCCCTGTGCTTGATTAACGTTTTTGGCTAACTCTATTCCCATCCCCTTATTTGGACTAATTCCATTTCTACAGGGTCGCACAAATTGGCTCTCTACCTAAGATGAATTATCTACTGATAAAAGTGAAATGTAATAGGCTCAGGAGGTCTGCCAACCTATCCTTCACTATCGCACAATTCTACCTTAAAATAGCCTCTCTGGTGACTTATTCACATGAAAACACAAGACTCTACCACTAAAACTCAAGGGTCAATTCTTTCCATTGTTTTCTAAAATCTGTGTTTTCCCTGACCTAAGCTACATGCCACCCTTCTTTTCCTATTCACTGGAATGCGTTTTAGGCAGTTTTAGGATCTGAAAACATTACAGCAAATCTGAATCACTTAATATGACATGAACATGCCATTTAATTACAAGTTATTAGATAAATTGTGATTTATTAAAGTAAACCTCTGTTAATGCCAGAGTTCCTAAACTGAGCTTCGAAACAGCAGCTCTTAGAGACAGGTGTCAAGTTGCAAGTCTAGTTCCAGGGGCTTCAGTCTGACATTCAGTAGTGTAAATCAGGCAGGGCAAGCAACTTGTTATAAGAGCCAGAAGCTTCTTGTAGTTCCTTTTAAAGTGGGCCGACAGAGCCCCAGGAAGAGAGGGGCCGTTTTCCCCACACTGCTCAGAGTTTGGGGTCAAACTTTCATTCCACCTTGGGACCCAGGTCACTGTCAAGCAAACACACGCCCAACCCCTCAGTTTGGAGCGTCCAAACGACCTCCAACTCTCACCTTAGAGAAGGAAGACTGCTTGCAGGGGGTCGAGGAGCCCCTGAACGCCTGTACTCCATCCTCCCCAACCCTGCTCACCTGAGCCCATGGATCAGGGGAGCGCTGTTGGATCTTCTCAGGGTGGCCCCATCAGATGTGTCAGGCTCAAAGTCCAGCTCCATTTTCTCCTGAGCCATGTCGAAACTTGCAGCCAGGCACAGCGGACAGTGCTCGGCTCCTGGTGCTTAGCTATGGACTCCCAAGACTCTCACTGCAGGACTGGGCTGCTGGGGACTGGCAGCTGGGGGCGGGGGCTAAGGGGCGGAGGCTTAGGGGCGGGGGCTGGGGCGGAGAAAAGCAGGAGAGGAGGAAGAGGAGGAGGAGGGAAGGAGGATGAGGATGAGGAAGAGAGGATGACAGTGAGAAAGGGGAGGAGGAGCGAGAGCTTGTGGTGGAGGGTGACAGAATAAAAGAAGAGGATGAAGGAAAGACAGGGATGAAGGGAGGAGGGAAAAAAGCAAGAGGGAGGGAAAAAGGATAGATGGAAAAGCAAGAGTACAGAGAGGGTCAAAGGAGGAGGGCAGAAGGGGGCAAGAAAGAGAAAGATGGGGGAAAGGAGGACAGAGGGGAAGGAAGAGGGCAAGGTGGAGGGAAAAGAGGAGCACGGGGGAGGGAAAGAAGGACGAGGTATGGGGAAGAGGAGAGAGGAAGGAGGACAGAGGGAGAAGAGAAGGAGGGGGAGGAAACTAGGCAGCGGCGGAACTCATGCTGCTATCTTTCGGCCAACGACCTTAAGCGGGGCCGGGCTACAGACGCCGCGGCTGCCCGGGCAGCGCTAGCACGGAGGAGCTGACAATCGGGCAGGGCCCGGCCAGACGGCCTCGGCGGCTCCAGCTCTCCATGCTCGGGGCCCTGGTCCAGCCCCCATGCTCCGGGACCCGGTCCCGGAGGCTCCTCAGCCCTGCGATCGGTGGTTCCCTCCCTGCCCCCTCCCCGCCTGGAGGACAGGTTGGGGGTCCAGCCCGTCAGCTGCCGCTGCAGTGCCTCCTCTTCCTCTCTTGGGTTCTAATGGCCCGGGGAAACCCCTTGGGGCCAAGACCGAAATCTACAACCTGCCGCCTCTTCCGCCTCCCACGCTCCAAAGCGGGAACCTCCGCCGGGCCCGGTCTTCCGCGTCCGGGCACCCATCTGGTCCTGCGCACGCGCGCGGCAGCCGCGCCAATGGGCCCACGGACACGGAGCATGCGTGGGAGCCCCGCCCGGCAAACCTCCTCCAAAGGGGAGGAGCGTTTCCAGGGGGCCCGGCGCCTTCCTCGATGGCATTGGCCCGGGCACTCTGGCGCCCGATTTTAAAAAGAGCCAATAGTATGGAGACACTGAAGCACCATCTTTCAAGCGGAGTTTGGGCCAATATTCAAGGAAAAAAGAAACACTTTTTTTCATTCCCAATTTGTATGCTCTCACCTCTGTGATCCCTGCTTATTTCTTAAATCCCTCGATTTTGTTGGTCTTTGTCTGCAGGGGCCGATTTCTTATTCACATCATCCATTTGGATGCACTAGGCCAAAAGGAAATGAAAAAACACAAACAATGGCGTAAAAATAAAGAGAATCTCCAATGAGAGTTCATATATCTAGTGAGAAATACTCATCTCCATTTTACAAGCATCTTTAGCTTCAACAAGACGTATTAGGAAAAGTCCTGAAGAACAAGTAGCAGAACCAGATTTTTTTGTCTTTCTAGGATTTACGGAGACCCTAACAATCAGGGTTCAGCACGTGAGACCTGGAATTATTTATTTTATTTAACAAACACCTACATAGCAGTTACTGTGTGCTAGGTACTATTCTAAGAGCTCCAGAAATGTTAACTCGTTTAATCTTCACCACTGGAATGACCCTGGGAGAAAATGGCCATTGTATTGTGTTAATCATACATAGGTAGAAAGTACAGGAAATTTAATAATTATAAAATTGGTTTCAAAATTTAGCAAAAATAGTATTACCAGCCTCTTCAGTTCAGTTATACCATATTAAACTTGCCAAGCCCAATCATCATTTTGTTTCTCAATGTTGTTTTCTGCTTGTAACATGAGATTTTTTAAAGCACTTTTGGAAAGTTTCCTCTAAATTGCCTATTTTTTCCCTCCAGATGGATTATAAATGCAAGCTCTGTTTTTGATCAACTTATGTATCTCTTTTTAACTCAAGGTCTCAGCAACCCCCTCCATCTGCTCAAAAAAAAGGTTGTACATTCTATTGTTTACAATAGCTACTAACCAATCATTTGTTGACCACATGCACAGTCCCTAACTCAGAGGAGTCAAACAATTTAGTAGAATCTCTAACTTTCAGGAGCTTAAAATTAGGAGAAACTCGAGGATATGTGAGAAGATGGATGCTACTTTAGCTGTCATTTTCAAGTTTTATTCATACCTAGTTACCTAGTTTCTTTTATCCTTCATGTAAATCTTTTGGGAAGTTTGGGGTGTTTGGTTTCTGAGCCTGGATTCAAGGTGTATTTGACTTGGTCTTGTGATAACTAAAGGTAAATAGGTTGCTTAAAGGTTGCCATGACAACTGGCCAAATAAAGAGCTGATTATGACATGTTTGTAGGACACAACTCTTATAGGTAAAAGGCCTGAGGCAGATGGCAGCAGACTGGGACAGACATACGAAGAGAGGAGTAGCATAAGTGTCAAGGTATAGTTTTAAGCAAACCAGATCCAAGATCATGGCACATTTCTATGGAACGGAGAAAGCTGATCATGAAACACAGCTAGGTTGGTATAATAGTGTGTGAGCAGAAACTGGAAGAAGTAAAAATAATTTCTTTAAATGTTGTGTTTGCCACTGCAGTATACAGAGTTATTTCTGTTTTCGTAGTAGTTGCTCCTTTTGACATTCCACCTTATGTGTGACCTATGAGTCCTGTCTCTATCTTTACAGGTTTTGGGTTCCTGACATGTAGCTGAACTTTAGTTAAAGAGAATTCTTCCTTTTTGCTAATAGCTGGAAACTTATTGCCATCTCATGTATTTCGTTGTTTCAAATTGCTACCCCTGTTCTATAAACAGTCTCTTAATTGCTCTTTCCTTGTCATTTTATTATACCTATTTTCTTAGTGTTATTGTACTTAGACTTTTAAAAGTTAGATATCTGTAATGCTTAGGCATGATAAGATTTCGTCTATTCATTCAAAATATATCTGTTAAGCCTTATTACCTGCCAAGCATATTAACAAACTCTTTGAAAAGTAAAATGAGCAGTAGAATGGAGTTAAGATCTATTGGTTTTGTGGTGTACTCCATATTTTTCTGCTACTCAGACAAGTTTGGTTTTGACCCTCTGTTCTGTATTTAACCACTGCCTTCTACATTCACCCTGACTTTACTGAGTTTTTAACTGCCATCTTTCCTAAACTTTCCAGGTACCCTAGGAACTTTGACAGCGGCTTTCAGGAGATCTTGGTACTAGCTGAGTCTACTGCTACCTAATTATGTGCCATTAATCTCTCTGGAATTTTATCAACTGTAAAATAGAAATGAGTTACCTGCTTTACTAGATAGTTGTGAATGACAGGTTATTTAAACCTGCATTTATCCATAAAATAATTTAACAAGTATCAAGTGCTTACGAGTATATAAATAGTGTTCAGAGAAATATCCAGAGGCACCTCACCTGTCTTTTCACTTAAATAGGGCACAGGAATCTTGGCTTTACCACTTAGCAGTTGCAATTTGAGTAACCCCTTTGGGCTTCAGTTTCCTCCTTTGAAAAATGGGCATTATGATGGTACCTGCCTCTCAGAGTTATTGTAAGCATTAAATGTGATCACATATTTAAAGTGCTTAGGACAGTACCTGGCAAATAGTAAGTGTCCCCCAAATGGCAGCTATTGTTAATCTGTCTTACATCAGGAATGGAGACTCCAAATCGTCCTCATGTCTGGGATTTAGGTAACCTAACTCTGCTTAATATAATTAAGCTTTTCCTATTCTGTTCTCAGAATGAATGAAGAATGATTATGATCTTTCATGCTATAACTTGTCATAAACTGTTTTAAGACAATCCCCTTATATTAAGTTCACCACTGACTAGCTGAGCAGGGTTAATGATTGAACCAATCGAGATAAGTATGTGAAAACATCTTTTAAACTGTAAAGTGCTATACCATGTTATGACTATTTTAACTAGTAACTCCTATTTCACTAGTTTCACTTGCCTTCTCTGCCAATTCTCTATATGGCTCCTAAAATGTGTAGTTTTACAAAATTATTAGCATGGAGTTAAGATTTCAGCGTTCAATGTGGCTCATTAACTGGTGGTGAAAAATTCTAAAAGAGCAGTTCTTAAAATGTTTTGAATGTTAAACGCAAACACTGATTTGGATGGATACTAAATTCTGAGATACTGTTTTAAGAAAATAAGCCTCCCTGCTTTAGCTCAAATCTTTTTTTTCTTTTTAGATTAATAGCTTTGAGGAGCTAGATTTTATTCAGTGTAAAAACGTACAATGTACGATTATGGTAAAAAAAAAAAAAAAAAGAAAGAAACCACGGAGAAAGTAATGATTCGTCTGTGCAATTGGTTCAGTTGGGTTAGCGCCTTACCAAAACCCTTTGGGAGCAGGTGGCCTCTAAGCATTTAGGAGTGGCTTTGGGATTTTTTTTCAGGCTTTAGCTTTTTTAAAATTGCAAAGGTGTGGTGTGTCTGCTGTAACAGGATGGAAAAATTCGTCATGAGAGGTAACAAGCTTTTGATCTCAGTCGTAAAGGGATAGCGGGCTAACCAAAACTGAGAAAATGGAGTATTAGACGTAGGGCAGAAAAGACGGCGCTCCCATACACCTTACTCTTCCCCACCCTTTCTTTCCTAAATAATGGTTAACGAAACCATTCCAGGGTTAACATGGGAGAAGAGGAACAACCACGGTGAATCTGTACTAGGAGAACAGGAAAAGACCGGGCTTGGGAAAACAGGCGGCCCGCGAACTGCGCATGCGCCCCTGGCAACGCGGACAAAGGCGCCTGCAATAATGCTCATTGCTTGCGCAGTAAGCTTGTGTCGGCGGGCAGGGCACGAGGCGCATGCGCAGAGGGGCGGTGCTCAACTGATTTTCGGAGGCGGCAGGTTGTAGTTTTTATTTTGGCCGGGAAGGCTTACTGGGTTTGCCTTGGCTGAGAGAGATCAAGGAGGAGGACTAAGATAAATTCCTCATTTTCATTTAGGCTTGGAGGGGAAGGATGTCAGCGTTAGGGGCCCGAACTTAGAGGTTAGGAGGTTTAGATCCAGTCCTGCCCCACTTTGTGCCCACTGTGTTAGGGATGGTAGGGCTGCAAAAGTGAGCATCCCACTCGTCTAAGAGCTTCCTCCTCTCTTCTCTTCCCCCCCCCCCCCTTTTTCTCTCTCCCTACATCGTCTCCAGACCAAGCTGACGTGTCCTTATGTGAATGGGAGCCAGAAAACGTTGAGAACTCCGATCTAAACAGTGGCTTCTCTCTTGACACGGACATGCCGCTGGAAAAAATGGAACTAGACTTGGAGCTCCAGCCGAGTTCAAGCACCACAGATGGCAGCATCTTGAGAAGATCCAACAGCGCCCCTGTGATCAATGGGCTTGGGTGAGCAGGATTGAGATACCGGAGGAGGCAAACAGGGGGGTGGGTGGCAAGTGTTGGAGAAAGTGACTTCCCATAGCAGTCCCATCTCTTTATTCATTGAGGTTTTACAGGTATCTCCCTTGTCCCTGGTGTTCGGAGATCTCACCCTTGGCCTGGGGGGAAGTGGGATGGGCTGGCCGGAGGGAGAGCGCACACCCATCCTGAGGGTGACACACAGGAACCTGAACGTCCTCTTCTGACAGGCCACCAGGACCCGAAAGCAGCAACCAATTGGTCTTGAGCACGACTTTTTCTAACTTCACTCCATCTCTTACCCATTCCTTTGAAGAAACTGAGCGCGCCTCACCCTCGCCTTCAGATCTTCTGTGATGACTGTAATTTTTGTCATTCTCTCAGCTGCTTTGTCACCTCTTTACCCTCACCTCCATCAAATAGAAATGGTTGTCAAACAAATAAGCTTGGGCCTTTTTTACACCTGGTTTTTATTTGAACAAAAAGTTTAGGTACCACAGAAACTTGATCTCCTAAATTTTGCATTATCAATGGCTGATATTGCTCCCAACTTGGTTCTTATGGGTGTATGAAAAAATCTTACTCTTTTTGTGTATAAAGCACAGATATACATGTGAAAATTGTGTGGGAATTTTCAAGAGGAAGCAATTAGAGGGGGAAAATATCTAAACAGGCTCCTTAGAGGGCTGCTAATGAAAAAATATAAGATTTAGAAACACTGCCCAGATGGTTAACTGCATTTTCTGCACATATCCAAAGGTCTAGCATAACTCAAACTTATTGTTTCTTAAAACAGAATTTTAAAGTGAGATCTTGGATCTCACATCCCAGTATCTTAAAGTTTTCTCAATACCATAAAAATGTCTAAAAATGCAGCCACTGCTTGTGTTATTAACTTTGCTCCTCACCTTTCGCTGGCATCATACTAACTGATGTAAATCACAACTGTTAGTGAACTCAGACCAGATCTCCCGTCGTTTAACATAGGAGGAAACTGAGGCCCATAAATGTCCAAAATGACATAGTAGTAGAGCCAGTGACCCCTGTGCTAGTGCTGTGTCCACTACTAATCAACCTCTAAGCTGGTTAACTCTAAACAAATGCAGCTTCCTGGTCATTTTAGGTAAGGGAGAATATATTGTTACAAAATGAAAAACAAAGGAAGATTGACCAAGAAATAATACATTACCTTTTTCCATAGGCAGATAGAAAAATTAAAAGGGGTGGCTCTGCATGCTGTGCTGAGAATAAGAACATTCTATAAATTCAGAATTTTAATCCTGTTGTGTGAATGGAAGTATTTTATGGACCCATTATGCTAGTAGAAGAAAGCACTTAGGGAGAATGTTGGTTTTATTGGGAATCTTCCTTTTTTTTTTAATGACACCCTGGTCAATTTGGAAATAGCAGTCTTTTTTCTTTTTCTTTTTCTTTTTTTTTGGTGAGGAAGATTGGCCCTGAGCTAACATCTGCTGCCAATCTTCCTCTTTTTTTTTTTTCTCCCCAAAGCCCCAGTACATAGTTGTATATCCTAGTTGTAAGTCCTTCTAGTTCTTCTATGTGGGATGCGGCCACAGCACGGCTTGATGAGCGATGTGTAGGTCTACACCTAGGATCCAAACTGGTGAACCCTGGGCCGCTGAAGCAGAGTGTGTGAACTTAACCACTGTGCCACCGGGCTGGCCCCTGGACCCCTTTATGAAATGAAAAAACAAGTTGCAAAGAGATGATGGAGGATATGTACTTGAAGGAACCTGTGGATCCTGTTTAATATAATAGGTGCTGGGGCAGCCAGGCAGGCTGCTTTCCCCAATCCTCAAAGTCCTGGAAGCAAAGAGAGTGATTGCAGTTATCCCTTTATACTTTGCTTTGTTCTGTAAAGGGTTTGAAATTTTTGAGTTTATATTAGAGCATAGTTAACGGTATTGAATTCCATAGCTTAAGATCCTGATGCATGAAGTGAAATTTGTACAGAAAGATGAGAGGCAATTGCATATTTAGCTAGTAGGAGTTAAAGAAACCATAAAGTAGACCACGTCCAGGGGACTCTTGTCTATGAAAAAGATGTAACACAGGAATGATATATGACACGCCTGAGGTCAGGGAACTTGTCCAAATGATCTCCTGAGGGCATATTTTATGCTGTTGTGGCAAGTTTAGAGTATGGCCAGAGAAGTTACCCTGAAGCAAGAAAAATTTAGAGTAGAATTACACTGAGCTTTAGTTGAATTCATTTTCACCTCTGTTCTTTTCAGTGTCATGTGTACACTGCTCACTGCCTCACTTTCGCTTGGTCGGCCCTCTAACACTGTTGCCATGCCTCTTTCACAGCTCACTAAATATTGTTGCACTTCTTTCAGGTAATTTTCCCATTTCGCTTGATGCTTCCTGTGTATAAGGACTTTGAATCTCTCTTGTACTGGCATTTGCAGAGTGTGTTCCTTCAATGTCAACTCTTTAATACAAGTGTTACTGTCTTTAAGAAGTTCCTGCGCTGTTTTGTGTATATGTTGCATTAATAAAAATATCAAAGTTGAAAGTTTCGAACCTCTTGGTTCTTTATACTCTTTAGCCCTCTAGTTGACTGACTTCACTATTGGTGTCAATGACTTTATTTAAAGGGAGCAGTTTTTTTATTCTCCTTCTCTAGCCCTTATTAGAATCCTAGATTAAGTTCTTGGCTTTCTGCCAGCGCCTTTCCCGCTGAAATACCTTTAGCCTGACCCTGCATTTAAACTGTTGCTGCCTCAATTCTGTTTTGAAAGGCAGACTACTGCTGTGGGCCAAATCCAGCCTGCCACTTGGTTTTGTAAATAAAGTTTTATTGGAACATAGCCATGCTCTTTTGTTTACTTATCAACCATGGCCGCTTTCCCACAATCGCAGAGTTGAGTAGTTGCAACAGAGATTGTATGACCCACAAAGCCCAAAATATTTACTATCTGGCCCTTTGCAGAAAAAAATTTGCCAACCGTCTGGTTTATTAAACTCTTACAACCTGGCAGAAGAATAGCGGCTATGAAGAATGATTGCTTTGGGAATATAACTGGCATAAATCTATTGTAGTTTAGACAGAGTTGTTTACTGATCATTTGATGTGGAGCATTGAACATCTATCTAGTTATATGACCTTCACTTTTTCCAAAGTGTAAGTAGTACTTAACTCAGTTCTAGGTATCACCTAGGATTTTATGAATTCATGTTGAGTGACTCATACCACTTGAAGTATATGCTGCCTCAATGATGCCTAACTCTTTCAGTTATAGTTTTATTAAATTTATATTAAATATTAAGATAATTAAAAATATATTAAATAAAAATTAAATATTAAAATTGGCAGACGATAATTTAGGGGAGAATATAATTGCCAGCCTTAAGAATTAACCCCCACACACAAAAGATAGTGGAAATATATAACCCCTTAGTGTCCCTCCAACTCCCTTATAAGCGACTGCTCAAATATATTCCTGTTCTCATAGGGAAAAATGACTGGGACAGGAAGTAAAAATTACACCCATATATATATCCTCTCATAAAGTATTGAGTTACTGTCTGTTCTGTGCAAATTACCATGCTGCAAAGATGTATCTCAAGGCTCAATAAGCTTTTAATAGGGAAAATAAACACTTCAAACACTTGTGTATGGTAGAGTAAGATCTGTGCTTAGGGAGGGAAAGAAAGTGCAAGGGGAATTGGAAGAACGGAGTGAGAAATGACACGGGGGTTGGTGAGGGATAAGGAAAAGTTTCTTGGACAGGTGTCATTTGAGATGGGTCCTAACAAACAGAATGATAGGATGCAGACTGGAAGAGAGGGGGCTGGATAGCTGGGACAGCATTCCAAGTATATGGAACAGGCTTGAAGGTGGAAAAGCACAGATGTATTCCAGAGAGCTGATCCACTCTACCTGGATCACTGGCTCCAAAATGTTCATCTGCTGACCAGTGCTGATCCCCGGTGACATTTTCACCAATCCATGGTTAAAAAAAGTTAAATACAGCGTACTTAAATATGTTGTTATGTAGGTGCCAATCATCCTTTCCTGGGCAGGACTGTGCTTTGCTCTGAGATTGTTACTTTTACTCTTTTTTTTAAATACCAAAATGTCCTTTTATAAATGAAACAATGGTGTCAGTAGATGGTGAGTTTTTTTTAATGACCTTACTTGGCAAAAGAAAATGGTAGCAACTGTGTTTCTACCAAGATTTTGTTTGTAAATTTTACTAGTCCATGAAATCTAAAACTCTGGAGCTAAATTGTGGAGAGCTTTGAATGTCCCAGTAAAGAGTGTAACTGAATTCGGCCAGCCGTGAAGACAGTTTCTGAAAGTCGTGAGCAGGAGAGCAAGCTGTTCTTTAGGAAGGTGGTCTGGGAGTCTGTTTGATAGATTGCCGTAGGGAAAGAAGAGAGGTGAGATGACCAAGTAGATTAGCAGAGTCTGTGGAAAAGTAAAAGGCTTTGAACTGTTTTTTGGCAAGGAGCCTGGAAGGAATAAGATGGATATAAGAGACTATATCCGTAAAACCTAAAAGCCCTGGCCTGATTGGATATAGGTGGCAAGAAAGAAAACGTTCAAGATGATTTCTTATTGTCATTGGGGAAACCTGGGTGAAAGGTACACAGGAACCCTCTGTATCATTTTTGCAATATCTTGTGAGTCTTAAAGTGTTTCTGATTAAAAAGCTATAACAAAAAGAAGACAGGAAAAGGAAAAGATGACTTCTTCCGGGTCTCAAGCTCGGATAGGGCTAAGGCCAGTGGGGTGAGCACCGTCAAAGCTGAGGACACAAGCACCATCCTCAGCAGGCAGCATCTGCTCAGCTTCAGTCCATTGTTGCCTTGTGGGAATGTGACCCAGTGAGGCGACATCTTGCAACTTTTCAGTAGAAGTCAGAAATCTGGAATCTGGATTATTTACGTGACATCTCTCAGTGTTTCGAATGTGCCCACCTAATTCGAAAACATTTTTAACAATAGGCCAAAGGAAACATATCTGTGAAAATCTCAGTTCTGTTGACGCCTGCTATTGGTTATCCCTCTTGTTCATGTGAAAGTTTGGGAGTTGAGAGGAAATTAGTTCTAGCACATTATGGCTCCAATCATAAATTTAAGTCAGTTACAGGTTTACACAGAAAATGATGTATTTCCAAGGCCACAATAAGTTATACTTATTCTTGGTAGCACGATTAGACGTAAAGTGGCTTGCTTGAGAATTCCTTACCTGACATGGACACTTGTTTAGGCTCAGCCAACTAAGGCTTTGTGTATGTGTGTGTGTGTGTGCGCGTGCATATGTGTGTGTTTTAATTTCTACATCTGCACAGCTGTCTCCACAAAGAAGCCATTTACATTAATGGCATTGCTGTTTACGTATTTGAAATCTTATTTCTTTTTAAAAAATTTTGTAATGGATTTTAAATGACAAATATTTTCTTTTTCTTCTTAGTGATAATTCACAGATGTTCCAAGCTGACACGCTAAGAGCTAGAGGAAACAGTATAACCTCCATAACCCAACACTGTCTGGTAAGAAAATGCTTATGGCAGCCTCACTGGCCAAGACTTGTGCTATTGGTTTTACCCATTGGTTCTCAAACTTGAGTTTGCACCTGGGAGGCTTGTTAAAACAGAATACTGGTCCTCAACCCCAGAGTTTGTGATTCAGGAGATGTGGGGCAGGGCCTGAGAATTTGCATTTCTGACAAGTTCCCACTTTGAGAGCCACAGCTCTAAACGTTAGTGAAGAAAAAAATAAACACATTGACTACAGTTATGATTGCTTTGCTGCAGCTGCAGCAGAATTAACTTTTAAATCCAATATGGATTTAACGTTGAGATTTGTTTTATGTTTAAGACCATCTGGCTTCTAATTTTTAAAAGAACATTCTCATTTTGAGAGGAAAATTTGCAGACTCTCCTAAGAGTATTTTTCAGGCTTTTAGTTGGACTTTTATCTCAAAGTTATCTTGAATTGAAAATAAAGTTTGTTTTTCATGGTGTTATAATGCAATCTCTAAATTACAACTCTTATCTACTAATTATCCTGTAAACAGAGGAAATATGCTTGTTGATCAGTAAGCCAAAGTGAATAAATGATTCACTGTGTAAATCTTTTTATTGAGATAAAATTCATATAACATACAGTTAACTATTTTAAAGCATACAATCCAGGGACATTTAGTGCATTTACAGTGTGGTTCACCCACCACTTCTCTCTGGTTTCCAAAAGCACACTTCCTTGTCTTGTTCCTGATCATAGGAGGAAAGCTTTCAAGTCTTTCATCATTGAGTATGAGATTAGCTGGAGGTTTTGGTAAATGCTCTTTATCACATTGGGGAAGTTCCTTTCTAGTCCTACTTGTTGAATATTTTTATCATGAAAGGGTGTTGAATTGTTCCAAATGTTTTTTTCTACATCTATTGAGATGATCATGTGGTTTTTCCTTTCCGTTCTGTTAATATGATGTATTACATTGATTTTCTTATGTTGAACCACATTTGCATTCCTGAGATCAATCCCACTTGATCTGGGTGTATAATGCTTTTTTTTAAATTAAGATTATGATAGTTATCAACCTTGTGAAATTACAGTTGTACATCATTATTAGTCATGTTGTAGGTACACCTCTTCACCCCTAGTGCCCTCCCCCCACCCCCCCTTTCCCCTGGTAACCACTGATCAGATCTCTTTGTCCATATGTTAACTACCACCTATGAGTGGAGTCATACAAAGTTCATCTTTCTCTGTCTGGCTTATTTGACTCAACATAATACCCTCAAGGTCTGTCCATGTTGTTCTGAATAGGACGACTTTGTCCTTTTTTATGGCTGAGTAGTATTCCATTGTATATATATACCATATCCTCTTTATCCAATCATCAGTTGCTGGGCACTTAGGTTGGTTCCATGACTTGGCTATTGTGAATAATGCTGCGATGAACATAGGTGTGCATGGGACTTTTGGAATTGCTGATTTCAGGTTCTTAGGATAGATTGGGTGTATAATGCTTTTAATGTACTATTGGATTGGGTTTGCTATTATTTTGTGGAGGATTTATCCATCTATATTCACAAGGGATATTGGTCTGTAGTTTTCTTCTGGCATTTTTGCTGGCTTTGGTATCAGGGTAATGCTGATCTCATAGAATCTGTTAGGAAATGTGCCTCCTCTTCTATCTTTGGAAGAGTTTGAGTAGGATTGGTGTGGTGATTCTTTTTAAATGTTTGGTAGAATTCACTAGTGAAGCCATCTAGTCCTAGACTTTTCTTTGTTAGAAGGTTTTTGAAATAGATTCTATTTCTTTACTTGTTACGGGTCTGTTGATATTTTCTATTTCCTCTTGAAATCACTTTGGTAATTTGTGTGTTTCTAGGATTTTGTCCACTTCATCTAGATTATCCAATTTGTTGACACATAATTGTTCATAGATTTCTCTTATATGATTTTTTTTAAAGATTAGCACCTAGACTAACATCTGTTGCCAATCCTCTTCTTCTTTTTCTTTTTTCTTCTTCTTCTCCCCAAAGCCCCCCAGTACATAGTTGTATATTCTAGTTGTAGGTCCTTCTGGTTGTGCTATGTGGGACGCTGCCTCAGCATGGCTTGATGAGCAGTGCCATGTCCATGACCAGGACCCGAACTGGCGAAACCCTTGGCCAGCAAAGCCGAGCACGTGAACTTAACTGGCCGTGGGGCTCGCCCCATGATTTTTTAATATGATGGAATCTATAGAACATATTTTGGTGAAATGTTATAGGTTGGAACCCCTTTAAAAATATTGCCTCCTAATCTTAAAACTGGAAATTTTCCTCCTCATAGAATATTTATCATTATTCCCACAGATGCACTTATATTGTATTGGGAAGAGTTAGAATTATTCATTAAACGAATCTTCCTCCTTCTATTCACTCACTTATTTCCTCATTCATTCAACAATATTTATTGAGTACTTGCTTGTCTATCAAAGCTCTCCATACCTATCCAGGCTTCTTTTCTACTCAGCCAAGTTAACAAATACTTTTAGGAGTGTACTGTGAATTAAGCCCTGATCTAGTTGCCAGGGAGATCTAACCTAGTTTGAGGAGTTGAAGGAGGAAATGACATCTGAGCTGAGATCTTATTGATATGTAAGAGTTAGTTAGTTTGGGATATTGGTTGCGGGAGCAGACAGTATTCCAGGTAAAAATGGCATGTTTGAAGGCCTGGAAGTGAAAGGGAGTGTGGTGTGTAGAGAATAGAGCGTGCAGAGAATTTGAAAGAAGTGCATTCTAGCTAGAGTGGGAGTAAAGATGAAGCGGTGGGAGAAGAGGTTGGAGATACAGACTAGTGCAAGATCTTGTAGAGCCTTCCAAGTCATGTTAAAGATTTTATGCTTTATCCTAAGGTCAGTGAGAAGCCGCGGAAGAATTCTAAGTCTGTGATTGACGTAATCAGGTTGGCATTTTTAAAAGATTACCCTGCCTGCAGACTGGAAGGTGGATTGGAACAGGGCAAAAGTAGATGTGAGAAGATCAGATAGGAGGCAACTGCAGTAACCCTGGCAAAGAGCTAATAGTAACTTGGATTAATATGATGGCAGTGGGCAAAGGAAAGTGCCAGATTCATGAGTATTTGAAAAGTGGAATCAATTGATAGATTTGATGGAGAATGGGAAAGGGTAGGGGCAAAGGTGACTACTAGGTCTCTGGCTTGGGCAACTGATGGGATGGTGCTACCACAGAAGAAGGAAGGAATGTTGGAAGAAGAGTAGATTTAGAAGAGAAGACGAGTTTAGTTTTGGACGTGTTAAGTTTGAGGTTCTCTGGGATCTCTGACTGGAGATGTTAGATATACTAGTTTGAAGCTCAGGATAGAGATTTGGGCTAGAGACACACATAAGAAGCATCAGTAGATCATAATTTAAAGCTAGGGGAATGGATGATATGACCTATGGAGGGAGTATAAAAGAAGAAGAGAAGAGGCTACAGGAAAAAGCTTTAAAGTTCACCAGCACTTAAACATCAGTCGCAAGAGACTCCACCAAAGAAAACAAACATGAACGGTCAGAGAGGCGAGAGGAGACTCAGAAGAGAGTAGTACCATGAAAACCAAGGAAAAATATTGTCATTGGCTAAGTAGTCAGACATGATAAAGACCTGAAGGTGTACATTCAGTTACCAAAATGGAGATTATTCATGAATTTCTTATATTTGAAAGCAAGCTCAGTGGAGAGGGGGGTAGGGCGAGAAGAAGCCAGATTGGATTGGGTTAAAGAATGACTGAGAGGTGAGGACCTTTAAATGGCACCGTACATACGAGCATGGTTATTTGTGGGCAGAGTACCCTTTCTATGCCTTAATTTCCTCCTCTGTAAAATGGGAATGTAATAGTATCTGCTCATAGGTTTGTTGTGGTGATTAATCAGCATAAAGCACTCAGCATGGCACTGGCACATACTAAATGCTCAATAAGTATTAGATTTTTTTTTTTTTGATGAGGAAGATTGACCCTGAGCTAACATCTGTGCCTATCTTCCTCTATTTTTGTATGTGGGATGCTACCACAGCATGGCTTGATGAGTGGTGCTAGGTCTACTCCTGGGATCCAAAGAAGTGAACCCTGGGCCACTGAAGCAGAGTGTGGGAACTTAACCACTATGCCACCAGGCTGGCCCCCTAGATGTTTTTGTTAGTAATAGTACATATACAGAGCAACCATGTACCTGGCATTTCTTTAAATGCATAATTTTCCTTAGGAATTCTAGGCTCTTAATTTGCATAAGGTTAAGTTTAATATAATGCATATTTAAAATAAATCATTTAATATAATGGACTGTGTTTGGCAGAACTGAAGTCATTTTAACTTATTTGATGATGAGAATTTCAAGGCTTAGTGCTTTAGCTTACTGTATCAGCATTATGCATATGCTTTGATTTTGTTCAAAGTATCACTTCATTATTATTTTAAGACTTATGTAGGTATATACTTGCCTTCAGTATAGATATGCTGAGTTATCTATGAGAATAACAGCCAAGAGCTGTGAGCATCCTCAGATGCAGAACTAGAATGTGTTAAGTTATTTAAAAAAACCAATAACACCCAAACTGCAAAATACTATGTGAAGTAGGACCCATGTCTGAAAAAATAAAACAGATATTTACTATGGTCATGATGGTGGGTGATGCTGTTTTTTCCTATTAATTATGTTTTATACTGAGCATGTATTGCTTTATAATGAGAAAAAAGGTGAGTCAATTTCTGTTGAAAAATAAAAGATCATGATGAATAGGTGGAGCACAGAGGATCTTTTAGGGCACTGAAATTCTTTCTCTTTTTTTTTTTTGGTGAGGAAGATTGTCACTGAGCTAACATCTTTGCCCATCTTTCTCTATTTTTATGTGGGACCTGCCTCAGCATGGCTTGACGAGTGGTGCTAGGTCCGTACCTGGCATCCGAACCTGTGAACCCTGGGCCGCCGAAGCAGAGCGTCCAAACTTAACCATTACACCTCTACTTGGGCCCCAAAACTATTCTTTATGATACTATA